ACAAATTTTCTCTCAGGCTTAACAGGTAGCTGTGGAGTCACAACAACCGCAGAATGATCAGAGCGTACCAAACATCTAAAAACTATAGGAGCCTTCCATAAATGAGGGTTATTTGTCAAGAAAACATCCAGTATCCGAGAACCTCTAGTAGGTTTCCTCACGATTTGATCAAAGTTGTGCTGAATGCAAAAGTCGTGCATGCGCAGTTGATTTACATTACCAGCAATAATTATTTTGGCATTAGGTTGCAATAACAGAATCTCCTCACAGTATTCAGATAAAAAATAAGCAAATCAGATTCGTTGTAAATTGGCTCAGGTGGATGATACACTACAGAGACGCAGTATGAACTATTCATAGTGTGAATTTCGCACCAGATACATTCGAAATTGTTATCGAGGTCGACATTGATAATTTTCCAATCATTTCTACACAAGATGGCAACCCCACCTCCTGGCCGAAGATCGCGACCCTTACGAACTATAGTATAACCACTTGGACATATTAAAGTTTAGGCGATGCACTTATGAAGCCATGTTTCTGTAATAAAACATACGTCTATATATTGTTATGGAGAAGTTCAGCTGTCAATGCTGGTAGAGCATCAGGTTTGACCAATGAACGGGTGTTAATGACCATACATTTTGGAGTTATTTTAGCTTGAGGGGGTCCATCTTTGAGTATTTAAATTGTCTTCAAATTACTGGGGTTACTATTATTACTGCTAAACTAAATAATGACCCAGGTTTGTGTCAACTTACTCAGACTGCTTTGAAAGGTTTCTTAGCTCAAAAATTTAAAGATTAAAATGATTGATCTGACCCAGGGGCGGATCTAGGGGTCGTCAAACCGGTCACGCGACTAACGTGAAAATTGCAAACTTAATTAAAGTCTTAAATATTCGACCAATAGTCCAGTTATTCTTTATCAAGCAGCGGCACGATATAACAGTCCAGTATCTATTATCATGCAGCGCTATCAATTAATATTCCAATCGAACTGTAGTCCAGTGATCAAATTTCATACAGTGGCTGAGCCTACGAGCTTAGTCAAGTCAATGAGCAGCCGACATACGACAATCTAGTGTTTTGATTGGTCTAGACGCTTATTTCCATGGAAAAAAGCGATTTTTTGCGATTTTGACTGATCTGTGGGGAGTCCGACCTACTTACAAAAGTCATGGGCGCTCCATTAGTCGGAATATCATTAATATTTGACGCGTGGTAATTAAGTCTTTCCGAGCGCGCGCTCATTCGAAGTGTCATGTTGGAGCTTTGTCGAAAGGTTTCTACGGAAAATTCGGAAATGTTTGCTGATCCTTGTGGTATTTACGAAACGGTTCAATCCGCATTTGCGATGAATGATTTAGCTGTCTTAAAAGACTGTTGGGCTGATCTTGGGAGGAAAATCGACGCTATATCGGAGAGTTCTGTTGAGCAGTTGTTAGGCGCCGAATGAGTAGCACGAACTACAGTTTGACTGTTTGAGTAGAAGTATTGGCGCTGAGATCTTTATTCTGATCGAAGAGTGAAGAGTGCAATAAGGTAAATTTAATGTGATATGTCAATTTTATTTCATTTTAAACAGCATAACAATATTTATATAAAGCGAACAAGATGCGCGAAATGCCGTTTCATCAACACCCAATGGGGAATTAATAACGTATTATTGTCATTCATATGATTTTTTCAGAAGCAAATTTATCAACATCCAGTGGGATAATTAATGATGTACTGTTATTATTAATATTTTCTTCAATTGAATTGAAGTTGTGAATTGTTCCGAAACAACAGACTTATGTAGCTCAACCTCATGCACAGACATGTACCTGATTTGCATGTTTGCATTGACATAGCTTTGTTAAGATCAGAAATGAGCCTGGTCAGTGGTATTTTTACGGCCAAAAGGAACCAGTTGCCATGGAAATGGCGTCAAAATCCCCCATGTTCTTGGCTTCACTTTTTCATCCCGAGCACGTCCTCCATTAATATAGTATAGCTCAGTGGAAGAGCTATTCGACGTCAGCCCAGTCCCTTTCTATTTGATTTTCTGCGCTGTCGGCTGCCATGAGTGTGCCAAAACTTCTAATAATCTTGATTATGATTTAAGGCGGCTCGATTCAATAAACGACCTTCTTAGCATATTGTTAGGTTTTATCCGGCATGTTATGTAATGTTAATATATTTTATTGCTTTCTCTTTTTCATTCAGTGGTTTTAGTACAACATAGAATGTAGTCCATGGGAAAACACACGTGCAATATTCGCATTAACATAGCCTATTGCTTCATGTACTTGCAAAAAAGCACGGTGACTCGGCGAAATGTGCATATCTCCTGGCGTACAAATTCTCAGGCTACTTATTCACACACATTCATGCACTCAAAGTTTTAAAACTGTTTTACTTCCCTAGAAATGCAAATATTTTTGTATTATTTTTATACTAACTAAAGTGGTCGAAGAAAAAAGATAATACTATACGACAATACAGCCATCCGAACTTGCATACATAATGAGCCACACGATAAATCGCTAGATAGAAAAGTCAGGCGAACTGGGCATTCTCCACACTCTTCTTCATCGGAACTGTCCCGGGGATACGGTGCACTCGACATTGACCGGTTTGGGACGATCAAGCAATCAATAGTTTTAACTTTATAATATGATGTAGCACGCAGTTGATTGCCTGAAAGTTTCTTGATGACACACCATGGGTCTTCCACAGATATGACCAAGTATTTACTGCGGGGTTGTGTCTTATATCTCGCTCAGCGACTAAATAAACCAAGTCCCCGACGTTAATTGTAGAAGATGCAGACCCATTCCTATTTCGGTTTTTCGATTTTTCACCATACGGGTGGTTTTGTTTTCGTTGTAAATGTTGCTCTTGGATTACTTTGCGATCACATATGGGAAGTTGATCACGAGTGAACTGATCTCTCTGTGTCCACAGCTCGCGAGCCGAGAGTCCCTCTCTCCGGAGGCGGGAATTTAGTCGAGATGCTGCGATAGCAAGGGTAACAGTCGATATAAAACCACCATTTGGTGCTTGGCGGAGGATTTCTTCTTCGAGTTCAGCGCAATGGCCTTCTCTGTCACTGGGTTTTTATTAGTGTTTTTAACGCGACCAATCTCTAGGGATAAGCCGAGGCTTTTAAGGGTTGGTTCGTTTCGCAGTGCAACAAAACCAGGGGCAGAGTCGACTCTGATGATGGCCGGTGGACCTTCCACGGGGTGCAGCTCGCTGCATAACTTAGCTAGGGCATCACGAAATGTGTTGGATTACTCGTCGTGGATGATAGACGTTGCGGTAAAGGATGTTGTTGTTTAGCTAACGACTATGATAGTTTGTTTACACCGCTTAAGGACATCTGCAGCAAATGAAACTCCAACGACCTTGGGCGGTTTTTCCTTCCTATGTTGTACACCTTGAGGTCGGAGCTTTTTCAGAGAGGTGCACGTGTCACTAGGCAGCTTGCATGTCAAGTGCGAAGAAGTTGCGTCTCATCACCAGTTGGAGTTGGTGTTTTGACGGGTGGTCGAGTTTGATATGTAAGGCTGTTACAAGACCGTCCAGTGCGGAGCGTGGTACTACGATCAACTCGGTGGAGGGTGATAAAGGGTCGGTTCTGCGAACCACTAATAAACCATCTTTGGCAATGGACAGGGAATTTAGGTAACGTTTAACATCCTTTACATTTGTTACCTTCTTAAAGAGGAGTGTGTTCCTTGTTTCAGGTGAGCATGTGTTATCCGTATAGGTCGGGACACTCGGATTGTATTTGGATCCAGGCAGGTCGGGTTGTAAAAGGTAAGCGGGGGAGGTGGTGTACGTTTTGGACGGAGGTGGATCGAACTACGGAATCCTCTGTAGCTGAAATGAAGTTACAAACTTGGAATTTCGGTTCATTGCACTCTGGTACGTTTCAAATGGCGAATTCCGAGGGTACGTTCGCTGAGCCCGCGAGGTGTTGTATGTCCGCTTGGTTCCTGCTGACGATGGATAAAAATGATGTAACGCGAAGGCTGGCTGAAAATTCACCTCGACGCAGTTTGTCAATGGCTTGAACACATGGCTTGCTATCAGTGAAGATACAAGCAGGGTGATGTGATTGGATTATGAAAGGGCTAAAGTGCTTCACGGCGGCAGCGATGTTTAATGCTTCAATCTCACATGGCAGCCAGTTCACCTGATGCTTTCTTAACTTGGCACTGAACAATCCTGCGAGGAGGAAGGTTTAATGACGTGATACGTAAAGGGTAGCAACGATTCCTCTTTTGGTTACAGAGCCCATTGGTTACTGTCCATAGTTTGTCGGATGATTTGAGAAGGGTAATATATTTGTTATTCGCCAGGGAGGATTGATCGGAATTGACTTGAATTGCTGGCACAGAGTATCTGACCACTTGATCTTGTCACATGATTGTTGTCCTGCGATGGCTTTCTAATGGTACAATGATATGTGTGCACTGTGGTAAAATACGTCCGAGAACTTTGTGGGCTCTAAAAAATCGGGCTATAAAAGACCAAAGACCACGTACCGTATCGGGAGGCGGTCACGATGACATTGTAGCAATTCTGTGTGCGCTTGCGGATAGGTATCCCTGTGTCCAAGATGGATAGGCATCTCTGTGTTCAAGATGGTCAATTCTGTGTGTACTCGCGGATAGGCATCCCTGTGTCTAAGATGGTGGTACTGCGTTGGCAAATAATGATTTTGGGGTGGTACTGCGTTGGCAAATAATGGTTTTGGATGGAGAAAGCATGATATTGCACTTTTGGAGGGCGTCTAGGATCCACTTCCAGTTGATGAGCGGTTCCTCAGGCAAATCTGCACTGCAATACAATTAGTCTGCAAGCTTCGCAGCGATTCCATCTTCCAGGCAATCACGTAGTATGCAACAAATGTGCTCCTCGAGGGCTGTTTCTGATCCTACTATGCCCATAGCTGATCGGGTGTAGACTAGAACGCCACGGAATGGAGTTTCAACGCCACAGTACTTCATGGAACCTTTAACAAGTGGCATCTGATAGAAAGCGCTGGTAAGGTCGGATACGATGATGTACTTCCATTTGGCGATTGTTCGGAGGGTAGAATCGACATCAGGTAATAGAGATGGTTGTGGCTTGCTGTATCGACCAACATCAGCAAAGGCAGTGACTAGTCGGTGTCCTCCACATGGCGTTTTAATAAGGAATGGGGTTTTATTAAGGTATTTCACGGTTATGCCAACGTCTTCAGGGGAGCTGAAAACTGCCTAGCGATTCAAGCTCATCAAATGTGTGTTGTAACTCGGCCAGTTTGTTCGGCGCGTATTAGGGGAGTCTGCCTTTGCGTTGTGGTGGTTGTACTGGACCCATATTTACGACAGCTTCAAAGAGACCGGCAGCACTGTTGTATCCAGAGATATTTTTATAAAAAATATCATCATATTCTTTAACTAAAACTGTCTGTACCAGTGTGGGTAGTAGCAATGTGAAAATGCTATGCTGGGTGGTTATATTACTACCTTAAGAAATAAGCAGAAACTCGACGTTTCGAGCGAAGGCCTTCGTTTCGAGCGAAGGCCACTAACTCTTGACGAAGGCCCTTTGCTCGAAACGTCGAGTTTCTGCTTATTTTTTAAGGTAGTAATATAACCATATTCTTTAACTAACTGGCTGAATTTGGAGTGCATGCTCTTTGATAGGATAGAATCAGGGCCTAGCTGGACAGATAAGGAGTGTTCATGGGGTGTAGGAGGGGAGGGTGCTACTAGGATGCTATTGCTAGTGATAGGACCTGACACAGATGGTCATGACGAGGGATACGTTTAGGGTGAGGAGTTTGATTGGGTATATGGATCTTTCTTACGACTGCCTGTACAATATGAGGGCTTGGCCACTCACAGTCTGATCTGGAACAATCGTTACGGGGTTCTAGAGCAAGGATAGAATCTGGATCACGTGATCGGGAAGGTCTAATTCAAGGTACTGTCCTAGCCAAATTGCGGTGGAGGATGATGGGGCACGAAGGACTGTAGTTTGTGTTCGACGGACCGAGCCTATGGTCCCAGCTGGTTGTCTGGAGCCATAGTACACGTTCTCGCATCCATGAATGGTGACTTCTTGCTTGGATGGCCGGAAGGAGATGTCTTTGGTGATCATGAAAGGAGTCCCGGCTAGTACGTCGACGTTCAAACTATCAACGACAAGTGCATCAAACTGCGAATTAAGGTGGTTACCGGACAAAGTCAAATGGACTTCTCCGACGACGGTTAGCTAGGTTATACCATCTGCTTGGAGGGCTTTCCGAGTAGTCTTCTGTATAGTAGCTCCAGTTTCATTGGCAATGCTGGTCTTAATATCATACTTGTTTCTGCTCCTGTGTCTAATGTCAAGAGTAGTGGGCGATGGGCATAGAATGCCTGGAGATGGGGTGACTGCTTAACACTAACTCGGTTGGTGGTAGTCTTGATTCGGTAGTTGTGGGAATTTTGTGAGTCTTCTACTTCGCAATCAGATAGCGGGTCCCCTGGTTCTGTGCCGATCACCTGTCTTGAGCGGGATAGGTATTGCTTGTCTTCGACTGGGAGGTAGGTCGACCTCCTTGTTTACACAAGGAGCAACTTTTTGTTGGGGTTTTAGATGTCCGTGGTAGTGCAGTATGGGTTTGACGGTGACTACTGGATTGAGTGTGTTTGAGGGATTGTTGGAAAGCAGTACGGAGGACTTTGGCATCGTTGGCAGAGTTAATTTCGTGAAGAAGGGAATCTAGTGCTCCGGAAATTTCAGGTTTGAGGGACGCGACAATTATGTTCTCCATTGTTGGGGAGATATCTTCATCAGATGTAACGTTTTTACCATGGTGTCGAATACCACCATTACCTTTGAGCAAATTGTCATCAATGAAGCTAACACGCCTTTGGTAAAGGTCTTCCGGACGCTCGTCAGTTACTAAGTGAATGTTATTAAAGTCTAAGAAATGACCACCTGTGTCTGAAACCCAAAGTGAGCCCGAATTGCTTGCCAAATAGTGCTCAAAGATGTCAAGTTATTGACAATGGTATTCCGGGAAATTACAGGGCAATAATTGGCTATTTGGCCCAATATAAGCTCCAGTTGGGCTGCTTTTTGCTCTGCAGTACGACGGCATGCTACGGGTACAGTATCGACATAATTTTCGAAACCGCGAAGTCGGGCGGTGGTGGTCCTTTTTAGCCAAGTTACCCCATCGATCAAAAATTTGGCGAAGTTTGGGTCTAACGATGATGCATATTGTAAATTTTGACGCCTTGCTTCAAATGATGTTATTGCTTCTTGTTTTGTGAGAGACAACTTTTTGGTGGGCACGGTTGCTTGCCATACTAACGAGAAAGACAACTAACTATACGAACAATTGACTTACGTTTAGTATGGGAACTCACGAGATCTTGCTGTACCAGCTCTGATTAAAAATTTAAAATGATGCCTGTTTTAAGACCGTTAGTTATGCAATTTTGCCCTTGTTACGCGTAATAGGGTAAAAGGCATTGATACTAGCTATGTAAGCAAAGTGACCAAGGTAGTAGGGTATTAAACAATGGGAATAGTACAAAGCGAAGTCTGAAAACATATTCTACTGGAGAAATTCTAGATATTGATTAAAACAAGAATATTATTGTATACAACTGGGAATAGGCCTGGGAGTTACGTAAACATATGGACGATCCTATACAAATGTTAATATAATACTAAGCATTCGGAATAGGTATGATCTATGGATGTATGAAAGTTATAACTGTTGATAAGCATTGGCGTCAATGCTGTACTTTGAGTACTTATACCTGCACCTGTTATAAAATTTCCTTAATGTTGAGTATCAGTATGTATGGTATTCATGCGCCCAAGCCCGTACATTGTATTCTTCGCTACCAATTGCCAATTAGTTTCAGATAGACGTGAAATTTTTGCCTGTCTTGATTGTGAATCGACCAAGCGCGCAATCTCGGCGTTTAATAATAAGTTGGCTAAATTGCAGAATACCCGTCCACTAGTCATCTTTGACTGCGTAGCCATATTATCAGTGGCTACGGCTACGCAGCACGCGCTATCAAATTACAATATCAAGGAAATACCTCATTATATCAATGTCTCGTTCTTTTAAAAACTCACGGCTGTAGTCGCGTAGCCACGTAGCCACAAAAGTATACCTTCCTTACAATTACGTAATTATATCAATGTCTCGTTCTTTCAAACTACTTACTGCGTAGCCGTGTAGCCACGTAGCCACTAAAAATATACCTTCCTTACCTTCTTTACAATTACATAATTATATCAATGTCTCGTTCTTTTAAAAACTTACTGCGTAGCCGTAGTGTAGCCACGTAGCCACTAAAAAATATACCTTCCTTACCTTCCTTACTAGAAAATACATGCATGCAGAAACCCTCGCCTTGCTGACAAAACCATTGTATTTTCCGAACATGAAGTATCTAAAGTATTTGTTATGGTAACACGATAATTTTATAAGAATATTCTTACAAATGAAAAATCGCCTAAAAATATCACTTTTAATTACAAAATTATCAATTTCCCAACATATATATGTTAGATATGTTATCATACGTAATATAAGCTTCAATTTTAGGTAACATTCACAAACGCTTTGCAAAACGTTTTTAAAGTGTTCTTTATAAAACTAAACTGCCTTTATTAAATGGCTTTATCGATAAACTTTAAGCTTGCAATAAAATGATTTCAAATTCTCGCATGCAAATAACTTTGCTTTCTTTTTTTATTTAAAAAACTCACTATAATAATAAAAGGAATCAATATTAAAGATACACTGAAATTATATGCTGTCTTGTTTAGTTGTTTCATATACGCAAAGGCCGTCGGGTTTTAAAGGCATTATAAAATCAATATTTAAAACAAACTTACTTCCGTTAACGTCGGCTTCCTTCTTGTAGCCGATTCTTTCGCAGTTTCTTTCTGAGAGAGCTTTTGAAATTTACAAAATCTTGCAAAAATGCGAGCAAAAATGAAATATATTTGCAAGAAATTTATCAATCATCAAATCAAGAAATGTTTGCTATTTTGCTGTCGTCATGTAGTCGTTATAATCACAGAGTAGAGACATACAGAGACGTAACTAGTGTACCCACTTTTTTTGTGCGCATGCTCGGCAAGTTACTACATGCATGCATCTGATTGGATGACGACCTGATGACGACTCACTTTAAACTTGCTGAGCACGCGCAGTTGATCATTTTTCGCCCGGTCGCCTGAAAAAAAGTGGGTACATGATAACGTAATCTTCCGCAGTGTTTACAACGGTCAGTTACGTCTCTGTATGTCTTATCTACTCTGTGTTATAATGCAAACTTTAAATTGGACCAATCAGTGTCCGCTATTCATGACAGTCCGCCATATTTTTGAGATCAGTGGGGATGACCACACACCCAACACCATAGAGATTATAAATAACACTAGAGGAGGCATCGAGGTTAAAAATTGGGAACGCAGCTAATGGGGAGCAAATTCAAGTTCCGGATATAAAATCGTGCTCTCATTGGCTGATTTGAAACTCGTCACCAATGGAAACATGAATACACATCCGGGACTTGAATTTGTCCCCAATAGCCGCGTTCCTTTTTTTTAACTGAATTAAGATTACAATGCCTCGTCTAGTGTTATTTATGTCTATGCTCAACACTCGAACACCGTTGGTGACCCACGCCCGCGATGATTGATGAACTTTAGACTTCGCTATGCTTTCGTTTCCCCGGGTGTAAATAGCCGGGGGAATTAGTACCCTCGCACGGCGCTTCACGCCGTCGGCTCTGGGACAATTACGTAATTATATCAATGTCTCGTTCTTTTAAAAACTCACTGCTGTAGTCGCGTATCCACGTAGCCACTAAAAAATATACCTTCCTTACCTTCCTTACAATTACATAATTATATCAATGTCTCGTTCTTTTAAAAACTCACTGCGTAGCCGTGTAGTCGTGTAGCCACTAAAAAATATACCTTCCTTACCTTCCTTACAATTACGTCATTGTATCAAGGTCTCGTTCTTTTAAAACTCACTGCGTAGCCACGTAGCCACTAAATAATGTACCTTTATTACCTTATTTCCTTACAATTACGTCATTGTATCAATGTCTCGTTCTTTCAAAAACTCACTGTGTATAACTAGTGAAAAGTATAGCCAGGGACGCCGGAGCCACGGGGGCAGCGGGGGCAACTGCCCCTGTTGCCCAAACAGTGCGGGGGCAGCACGGGGGCAACAGGTTGCCCTTTTTACCGGAACTGTAGTTCGAATTCGTGCGTTATTCACAGGAATTGGAATTTTTAACTATTTTAAAGCAATGTTTAAGCAATCTTTGCTTAATTTTTAACCAGTTGTTGTAAAATTAATGCTAAATCAGGTAATATACATCCGTTTACTGATTTTATTTTGCGCCCTTAGCATGATGCAACGAATAAAATTGTTCAAAATTAATGTCGAAGTTTGCCGACCCATAATCGCGACAAGTAATCGAGTATCCATACAGTAAAATTTTAACAAATATTGCCGGCCAGAAAAATGATGATTGGTAAGCAAGTGCCCTTTTGAAATGGCTGCCCCCGCCGCTTCACATTGTTTCCGGCGCCCCTGCATTTTTACATTGGTACTACCTACACTGGTACAGACAGTTTTAGTATTATACCAAAGACTCGTTCTAATTTAAAACTCACTACGTAGCCACAAATATTTCTAGCGGGTCGTCAAAAGTGGACGGGTATTCTGCAATCGCTCCTCATAATCCACTGCGATGAGTAATATGACACTGCCTGTAAGAACATTTTGGACGGAAATTGGATAGTGTCTAAAAAATTATAGTGATGTATTCCGACCACACTTAATAAAGCACATCTTTCGAATTGACGAGTTCGAGGCAAAGCACAGGTTGAAATACAATTTTAAAAGAAATGTCGAAGCGACGACCTGGTTCGGACATGTTTTCGCGAGAAGCATTCCTTGCCCGGTTGGCATCAAAGGCCGAGGCGAGGGAAAATATCAACAACATTGCAAAATTTGGACGTGCTAAAAATCTACGTTTGTCTCAATTGCTCGAAGAAAGAAATGAGATTTCTGAGAAGACCATGATATTTATACGATATCAACTAAGCTATAACGACAAAGGGATTTATGACGCTATAGCAATGGCAATTAAGTACGTTGCTGCACGATATAGTCAGGCAGGTCATATGATGAATGTCTAAATGCGATTGGCACCATTATGAAGAAGGCAGGTTTTGTAATTGTGATAAAAGATCTGCGAGTTTACGTAACATTAGTAGAAGCAAGATGCCCTACGTTATGTTCAATACCGTTCTTTTTTGATGTAGTATATCGTTCTTTGTTGATGTAGTATATGTAAGATTCAAATAAAGAGGTTGTGACAATCTAATACTCACAGAAAAGCTTAGAAAGACAATAAAATGGTATTTAAACCCACATATTTATTCGCCAATTATTATGGTACGCACATAGTTACAAGTTCTTTATGCAGGTGGTAAGGCAGAGTTTTTAGGTTGGTAGACCAAAAGTTTTGCCAGTCTTCCTGCTCCAGTCCAGTTTGGTGAAATCTCTTTGCTCTGTAGATCGTCAAGATTAACACGAACTTGTAACTTACCATCTTTCATCTGAAACAAAGGAGTATTATTTACTGCATCAGGGTCGACAAAAGGTATAAGATTCAGCACGTCATCTACGTTTATCTCACGATCAGGATTTTGGTATGCTTGGATCACTTGATAAGCAGATGTATTTGCTGCCTTGACGACTAGTCGGAAATTATCTTTATCTCCAGTCTTAATAAGATATCCATCTCCATAAGCGTTCCACTTGTCACCTTTCTTGTTTTTGACACGCAGACCAAATCTGCAGTCTTCATCATGCATATACTTGCTCAGTAGATCGCCAAGACCGCTGACGAAAAGCTGGAAATGAAGTTCCACTCTCGGGGTCCTGTATGCGGGAAGAACAACACAGAACGAAATTATCCTACATTTAACAATTATTGAATGAGGTTGTGCATATATATGAAGAATATTAAAGCCTAAACATGGTTGAATATTTCTTCATACTTGGCGAAAACCAAATTCAATATTTTTTTATTATTTAATTTATAGACATCCGTACTTCTGAGCTCAATTCGCCGAAATAATGACCGGTTCTTATGTATTCTGCGTAGCCTGCGTAGCGGCTCTCAAAAAGGAGAGCTTGCACCAAACCCCATGCTTTGCAATTTTTACTCGTTCTCTCAGAGAACGAGAAATCTGATTGGTTCAAAATGATAAATATGCTAATTTGTGCTAAAATATTCGTTGATTGATACCATGATTGTGAACAAACACGGCGAATGCATTTGAAAGGTGTTTCTTGAGTTTTGCATTCAAAACAGCTAATTAAAGGCCACGATTCACATTTAAGGATGAATAAAAAAGTTTTTGCGAACTTTGTTCATGAAGCTCTAGAGATACAGTGGCTGTGGTGTCTTTATTGGATTGCTGGCTGTTAGCTGCGGCTCTTTCACGAGCATGTTCGTTTTCATCGACGACAAATAGATTTTTTCTTGATGATTTTGTGGGCAATAATTTTGTGGCAGGAGGAATTGCTGTGAATTCTTACGAACAGGACTTGCTATCTCTGAAGTGACGGTTTCAGGCACCTTTCTCGTCCCTGCATCACTCGAAACTTCGACATTTACATCACGGTTGACCGCTGTCAAAACTAATTTGTACGTATCCACGAGATTTCGTAGCTTTCTTCTAGCACACGAACTGCAAACTACTTGTGACGACGATGGAGACTGCTCTTCTAAGCACTATTCCCACAGATTTCAATTTTCTTTAACCGACATCCGCTTATTATTTCGTTTTGAAACAATTTGTATTATTTCATTCTGACAAGTAAATTTGCAAACGTAAACAATCTGTGTGATTGGCCGATTTTGACATATGTTGATGAAAGTGGGCGCAGCCCGCACGCTAAGTGGGCAGGAATAGAAAAACAGATCTCGTGCAGGGTCTTCTTTCTGAGAGCTGCTACGCAGGCTAATTAATACGAAAAGTTGTAAGGCTACCAAGGCTGGTTCAATTTGATGGTGTTTAAAGGCCCATTTACACGATACGATTAGTTGTATACGATTGTCATTCTGACGAATGAAAACGAGTGCTAATGCTACGTTATTGCTCATTCGCAAATGGCGAAATTTGAAATGTCACGTTTGTAGCGTGTTTATTCGATCACATACGCCAGAGTAAGAATCGTATACAACTAATCGTACCGTGTAAATGGGCTTTAAAGGTTGTTTTTGCCTTGGCCTATCTTGATTGAAAAGCGAACTTATATGAGTACAAGGATAGGTGGAGAAAACCTGCAATGTCTAGTGCACTTAAACGTAAGACAGTCTTCTTTAAACGTAACATTGTGGTTTGGTAGATAACTCCTTAGTACAATTTTCAGTTGCGTGATCTCTTATTTCATGTTTGGCTGCACTAAACAAAGCAGATCTTTTCCAACTTGCTTTATGTTTACTGGTGAAATGTAAGCACTGAGTCACTGCAAAATGATCCCTTCAAACGATACATTAACACTAGGGAGAATGTAATAGCATATCAGCTTTCAGAAAAGAAATTAAAAAAGCAATAATTTGACCTAAGAGGAGAGTCCTGAAGGGGTAAAATGGCAATTGGGATTTTTCTATTTTTGAATTGGAAAACTTCGATTAGGGTTACTGGGACTGGAAACAACAGACATAAATATGGAAATGGAAAGCACATAATACCTCTGAAAAGACAGTTGTAGTTCGATATTTCGAATTCAGAGTTTAATTAAATAACTTCAAGGAGACATACGAAGAAACGTTCGAAGGAGAAAATAATGTCCTGGAAAATGCATTCTGCCAATTTTCAATTCCATCTGGAGGCCATTTTCATTGCGAATCAGGGATTTACTTAGTAACTAATATCTACGGTAGTTTATGACAGAAAACGACAAGTTTATATAAACTTAAGGAACTTTTAAGAGGTGTTTAAATTGCCTACAAAAACTTAAATTAAATTCCATGACAAGTTAACAGTTAATTATTGTATCTAGAGTTTTCAAAGGCAGCTTTTCGGACGGATTTAAAGCCGTAAAATTTGGCTTTAAAATACATGGCTAACAAGTTTTTGTGTACGACAGTAATAATTTGTCAATTGAACAAATATTGCTCATACTGACCTCATATGACCGCTTGAGAAACAATCTGTGAGAAAGTGACAAGCAAAAGCATCTATAGAGAGAGACTCGTTCAACATTTTCTTCTTTGTGTCAGGATCTTTTTCCTTTGCCGCCTCTCGGGCTTTTTCCATCGCTAACTGATGACCAACGAGGTAGGCTCTCGGCGCTTGTGGCTCAAAATGGTCGAAATTAATCGCTGCCAGTTTTAACATTCTGCCGTTTGTAACATATGCATATTGAGCATTAGTATGAAGGGTACCGTTGTGATATCTCCTCACAAGCAGGTCTTCCCCGATCATTGTTACAAGCGTAGCCACTTGTTTCTCAATCGATTTACGTGGTACACTAGCAAGTGTGGCATAAGCTCCCATGAATCGTTTGCGTTCATCCGGCGTTGCTTTAACAGTTCCGGTCTTGAATGCATCATAAGGCACTCTTTCGGTCATGAGGTCAAGATAAGGCTTTTTTCTACCTCCAGGATAAGGCTTCTTTCCACCCCCAGGATAAGGCTTCTTTCCACCCCCAGGATAAGGCTTCTTTCCACCTCCAGGATAAGGGTTCTTTCTACCTCCAGGATAAGGCTTCTTTCCACCTCCAGGATAAGGGTTCTTTCCACCCCCAGGGTAAGGCTTGTTTCCACCACCAGGATAGGGCTTGTTTCCACCACCCGGAATAGGCTTCTCTCCGCCCCCAGGACATGGCTTCTTTCCACGCCCGGGTTTGCATACTTCTTTACCGTGAACTGCGATGATAGATGCATTAGGTAAAGCAAAAAAATCCCCAGCTAACGCTATCATTTGACCAAACGTGAGTTGAATTCCATTGGGGAGTATTAACTTGGTGTATATCCCCGGTTCACTTGGATCATTAATCTTATTTCCAATTAACTCGTGTTCATCTCCCTCGAAATGTGACGTTTGTTCCTACGAGATTTAAATAGATACATTTGTTGGTTTCGTTTGTTATTTTATTTCTGTAGAGTGTAGTGAAATCTTTTGATCCACTAATTGATCGCAAATGGTGAAGAGAAAAGTATGGAAATTAAGAAATAAAGAAATTAACGTAAAGGAATTAAGGACCCCGTAGGAAATTAATAGAAATATATACTCAATCTCTAAATAACTTCGGAAGAGAAGTTATTTGTGCTTTCTTGTGTAAACGTTTGTTAGGAGATCGCCTGGATAATCCTTTACTTCTAACAGCTTGGAGCCAAAATTTCCACCTGACTACAGAGCCATAAAACTCTGGAATGCCTCAACAGCGAGCTCAGGCAAGTTTACCGCATCTTTGCCAAAAACTATCAACCGATACTTAAACTAACTTGTTGCATTGTTCAAAGCTCAATTAGCGCTAATCCTGGGTTCAAATTTAACATGCTATTTTTGGTTTCCGAATTTCTGCTGTCTGTTTATTTCAAGATTTCAGAAAACAGAATTTAAATCGGCCCAAACACGATGTTTGGAAAGACATTTCCTGTTTATAAACAAGCTGTTGCAGTATTCGCTTAGAATTTTTAGGCTAACCTGGGCGGATTCATTCTCGTCCCCAAAGCTATTTTCACTCGGCTACTCGTCGAAAATTAGGCTCTGGGGTAGACGATTAAAAGGAGAGATCTGTTTAGCTTCCCAGAGTCTAACTATTTCGCATAAATACTTCACTGTGAAAATTGTTGCGGGTGCTAAAGCGTCCCAATTCAAGAGCAAGCGTTTTAGAAACCACTGAAAGTTTCTTTGCATTTCCAGTTCCGTGTGTCCCAGGGCCTAGGGAGGGCGCGCGCTACCGGGAGACTCTGTAGACGAGGATGGGGCGGATTTATCTAACTGGCTTTTGAACAATCGCCCTCTGGTGTCTTTGTTCAACAGTATATATCGCTTTTTTAACTTATCAGTTCGATTTTTACAATCTATGGACAATAGACATGTAGATATTTTCGAAAAATAGCAATATTTTAAAGAAAATAGAACTACCTGTAAAATATTAGCAGAACATCGACATTTTGAGCCAAAACCCTTCGTCGAGAAGTGAGTAGGGTGGATTGAGACTATAGTTGATATAGAAGGAATCACACTGACAAGAATAAACCATTCAGATGTATTTATTTAAAAACAAGACTGACAGCAAACATAATAAATACTATAGAGAAAGAAATTGGGAATAAGGTGAGAATATACAATATTGTCAATGCTTGCTCATGTCCGGCAAAGACAGGTAGAGCTAAACATGGGGAAAACGTTCTTTCATACGGTTGGAAGAGGGAGCAGTGACCATCCTCGTCCCCAGGCCCAAGGTCGAGCGGCCCTCACAGAGGCCCTGGTTCAGGCTGTTGAGCAGTTGATTGTGATTGGCTCTTTTGCTCTAACGGAATGTTGCGGGTGGGAAGGAAATGCGGGTTAACAATAAACATTGGCTGGCGCGAAGAGTGGCAATTATTATAAACTGGTATTAAATTTATATGGTAGAAATCAGATATTTACATGTAAATTAAATTTTTGCTTAAACTATGATATGGACAAATTCAAGACTGCTGGAAACCAACTACATAGATATTTGAAGGATTTGAAATACATTTGAAACGAATTGAATGATAAAGTTCAAGACTCGGATATCAGTCACATTCACGACTATGGAAATTAATATATATTGTGTACGCAGATGTTACAAGATTATTGTGTAAATTGTCGCCCTCCACCTATCTGTTGGCATCAACGCAATTTTATACATTGTATTTGACAATTTGAAGAGTCTAATTTAGAATGTAATCTACGAAAATTTAGTATTTATCAAGTACTTGATACACAAAGTTAATGGAAGCATTTTGTTCTGTTTGCACAATCACAATGCACAGTTCACAATGGGACCGGTGTTGTTTGAGAACCACAAGCTCGATTGTTTAATACCCAAGGTGAAAAGCTGTCTTTTCACACACAAAATGTTGAAAGGATTTTGTAGATGGAATTAAATTATTTATCCAAACTATTGAATAAATTTATCCAAACTAGAATACAATCAGTAACAATTCATGATTATATTTAAGTAATTTAACCAGTTATGTGTCAAGTCTAAGCTTATAAATTGGCGCGTAATGGCGTGTGGGCATAATTTGCTTTGCTCTGTCTATTTGCCTGTGTTAATGTTCGCTGGATACCTGTTCAGCAATTACAACCAGAACAGAACCTCACTAACGTGTTCGTCATTAAACTGGTGTAGTTTGGTTGCAGATTATAGTGCATTTTGCTGCAAAAATCAGTGTTTTGTGGTTTACTCAGAGCCGGTTTCGCAATATTCAAGTCACGGTTCTTGGTCCTTACACAATGGCTTAAACATTCATTGGTGGTATGTCAGCAATTACAACCAGAACAGAACCTCACTAACGTGTTCGTCATCAAACTGGTGTAGTTTGGTTGCAGATTATGGTGTATTTTGCTGCAAAAATCAGTGTTCTGTGGTTTATTCAGAGCTGGTTTCGCAATATTCAAGTCACGGTTCTTGGTCCTTACACAATGGCTTAAACATTCATTGGTGGTATGTATTGTCTCCATTGTGTTGGAATTCAAACAAATTTAAACACCCAAGACGTGTTAAAAACAGGCGACATAAACGTCCATGTACTTATTATTCAAATTCAACGGCAACATTTCATCTATTACTACAAGGCGATCTTGTGTTTAAACTAAATCCCGGTCCAGAAGAATATCAAATTAGTTCAATAGTATCATCTCGTTTGAATACTCATCAGCATATGTCAACAGATCGGAATCGAAATCTGGATAATCTATGTAATATTAGGTGCTTGCCGTATAACTGGACGTCAACAACGAATATATTCTCACTGTGTCTCCTCAACACCCGCTCAATAAGAAATAAGATTGCGGAGCTTACAGATTTTGTATGTGACCGCAAGCCAGATTTGCTTGCTGTTACTGAAACATGGCTTGGCGTCAACGATTGTGCAGTGAGAGCTCAAATCTGTCCTACTGGTTATAAGTTTGTCGATCATGGGCGAGATTCGCGTCGCGGTGGGGGAACTGGTCTATTCTATCGAGACTCACTTAATGTCATCAAAGTTGAGGCGGCCGAGCTGCATTCCTTCGAGTATTCCGAATGGATAATAAACATTGGATCTCAGCGAACTCGTCTAGTTATTATTTATAGACCACCATACTCTGCAGCCCATCCTGTTACAGTTTCCACGTTTCTCTGTGAGTTTGCTGGTATGTTGGAGTCTCTAGTTCTCAGTATTGAGCCACTGCTGATTGCTGGCGACTTCAATATACATGTAAACTGTGCAGATGACCCAGACACTGTGGGCTTGCTGACGTTGCTCGAGAGCACAGGTCTCGAACAACATGTGAAAGTTCCCACTCACATCAACGGTAACTTTCTAGATCTGATTATATCTAGACAGAGTGACAGTATTATAGATGCAGCGCCTTGGACTGATTCTTTGTTCTCAGACCATATGCCTGTTTTCTGTTCTCTTAAGTTGGATAAACCCTCCTTCACAAAGTCTCGTATCTCCTACAGAAAGCTGAAATCCATAGATACTGAATGCTTGAGAAAAGATCTGTCACAAACATCTCTCTGCAAGGACCTCGATAACATGGAACTCGCTGATCTTGTCATGTGCTACAACGAGACTCTAACCTCAACCTTAGATCGTCATGCACCTTTAATTACAAAAACAATTGTCAAAAGACCCATTGTCCCATGGTTTACTGACGAAGTTAAGGCTGTCAAACGTCAACGAAGGATCGCTGAGAAGAAATGGCGTCGGACAAAATTGCAGTGTGACTTTCTTGCCTACAAAGCAAAGAGGAACTATGCAACATTTGTTATGAAAAGAGCGCGCCGTCATTTTTATACTAACTTTATAGCGGAAAACAGTAACGATCAGGGTAAACTCTTCCGAGCCGCAAAGTCGCTTTTTGTTCAGAAATCAGAATTGACGTTTCCTGACTATCGTAATTCTTCTGCCCTAGCCAATGATATTGGAGAGTACTTTGTGCGCAAGATCGACCGTGTACGCTCTGAACTTGACTCTGTTAATCCTACTGAAGACTCTACCTCGTGTACTGTCTCACACTCCGTCACCCCCATTGATAGTTTTAACAAACTTGATAAGAAAGATGTGAGGGAACTTATCGCTGAATCAAGTAAGAAGTCGTGCTCTTTAGACCCCATGCCCACACCCCTGGTATTAGAGTGCTCGGATGTTCTTCTCCCCAGCATCACGAGGATGATCAATCTGTCACTTGAGGTGGGGACATTCCCAGAACCCTGGAAGTTGGCCGATGTCCATCCGCGCCTCAAGAAGCCTGGTGCTGAATCTGCATTTATGAACTTGCGTCCGATAAGCAATTTAACATTTGTCTCTAAACTTACGGAAAGAGCTGCATTTAACCAAATTAACCAACACTGTTTGGAAAACAACCTTTATCCAAAGAATCAGTCCTCCTATCGTAAGCTTCACAGTACCGAAACCGCTCTTCTTCGAGTAAAGAACGATATACTGACTAGCATGAACAAACAGCATGTCGTATTACTTGTATTGTTAGATTTGAGCTCGGCCTTTGACACTGTCGATCACACTATCCTCCTTAATCGACTCAATTCAACTTTTGGTATTACGGGCTCTGCTCACAAGTGGTTTAATTCATACCTTACCAGGCGCAGCCAATTTGTTACGGTAAATGGAGCAACGTCAAAGACATTTGATTTGCAGTACGGGGTACCGCAAGGTTCATGTCTGGGTCCTCTGCTCTTTATTTTATACGCAAGCAGATTATTTGATATACTTGAAAGTCACCTCCCCAATTCTCACATGTACGCAGATGACACACAACTCTACCTCGCATTTAAACCCGACGATGCCATGAATCAAATCACTGCCGTTACAGCAATGCAGAATGCTATTGATGACATTAAGAAATGGATGTTCGCTGACAAACTCAAATTAAATGATGGGAAGTCCGAGTTCATGATTATAGGCACAAGACAACAACTGGCCAAAGTCAGTGTTGACACCCTTCGAGTAGGCAACGTTCAACTAACACCACTTAGTGAAGCTCGCAATCTGGGTTGCTGGTTTGACTCGCAACTTAGCATGGTGACTCATATACATAAAGTTTGCAAAGCTGCATTCTACCATCTATATAATCTGAGGAAAATTCGGAAATTTCTGGACAATGAAAGCATAAAGACTTTGGTCAATGCCTTAATAACAAGCCGCTTAGACTATTGCAATAGCCTGTTGTTTGGGACACCTGCTACTCATTTACTGAAATTACAGAGAGTACAAAATACTGCTGCCCGGCTCATCTGTAATATGTCACGATTTGACCATATAACTCCCACATTGATACATCTACATTGGCTTCCAGTGAAATTCAGGATAGATTTCAAGATTCTACTAATAACATTCAAAGTTATTCATGGACTAGTTCCTGAGTATCTACATGAATTGATCTGTGTAAAAGCACCATCTAGATATCATCTCAGATCGAATGATCAATTATTACTCTCACAGCCAAAGTTCAAATCACTGAAAACTTTAGGCGATCGCGCGTTTATATCGGCAGCGCCCAATTTGTTACCCTGGATTCCAGAGCCTTCGACAGTAAATAATAAATTGAAATGTCGCGAAGGCTCTGGTTCAACGAGGCGATTATTTGATTAAGCCGCGCCAATCACAAAACAGAATTAGTGGTTTTAGTACAGAATCTGTACTAAAACCACTAATTCTGTTTTGTGATTGGCGCGGCTTAATCAAAGAATCGCCCCGTTGAACCAGAGCCTTCGCGACATTTCAATTTATTATTTACTGTCGAAGGCTCTGGAATCCAGGGTACCAATTTGTGGAACTCACTACCAAATGACATTCGTAGTGCAAAAACAGTGGACCATTTTAAAAAATTAGTAAAGACACACCTTTTTAAGATTGCATTTTATTAATTTATTTATTAGTCGATATACCTTTGGACATATATGCGTACTTATATATATAGAAATTTGAACTTGAATTGACATTCAATAAGACTTTAGGAACACATAATTTTTACTTAATTAATTTTAGCTTTTCATGTACATACACTTGTTTTATCAATTATGTAATGCGCAGGTGAGCATCTCCCTATGGAACCTCGCGCAATATAAATTTAAATAATAATAATAATAATAATAATAATTTCACCATAAGAAGCATTTTAGCTACCTGTTGCTAAAGTTTGTTTAATTTAACACTATCACTGAAACATTTTATTAATAAATACACCCTTCTGGAAAGTACATCACTTTGACTGTTCAAAATTTTCGATAACCACTGAGTATTCTAATAAAATACAAAACAATGGAAACTCCGAAGAAATTCATATTTTTAATTCAACGTTTCGACTACTGTTGAGTCATCATCAGGAATTATGAAAGCTACTAAAATTTAAAAATTAATAATTAAAAATTAAATATTTATTACTAAATTTTTAGACATATCAATTCGTGTGAATACTTTTATAATTTAAATCCACTATTAGTTTTATCTTTTAACAACCTAGAACTACTACCTCAAATTGTTCTTAACAATACTGTAATTATTGATAAATCTACGAACTGGTTGCTTCTACTATATAAAGAAGCTTTACATATCCACAGACAGCATCCTGAATTAAACCATGGGACTAAAGCGTCAAAAGAACTTGTTATCTTTAATTAGAACTTGTTGACAGATTAGATCATCTTATAACACACCTGTACTTATAACTTGTAAAATTTAGTAGCTTTCATAATTCCTGATGATGACTCAACAGTAGTCGAAACGTTGAATTAAAAGTATGAATTTCTTCGGAGTTTCCATTGTTTTGTATTTTTGACTGTTCAGGTTTTGCAGTATGACATATCATCTTACAGGAATTCCTATAGGAAATTTATCCTAATTTCCTATAGGAATAGTAAATGACACACAATGTTGTTCATCACTTTTAATTTTTTTAATGCAAACAAAAATATATATATATATATATATAAATATTAAAAAATACATATATTACAAATTAATATAAATATTTATACGAAAAATTGGTTATACTAAACATTACAGATCAATTATAGTTTTCACCTATGGTTTAATAACAAGTCAAAACAAAAACTAACCTAAAGAAAACCATTGCAATCAATTATATGTACACAAGCACCAATTAATTGTTCTACCTCCATGCAATGCCAAATTTATTGACCTTTGTTATTAAACCATAGGTAATGACCATAATCGACATGTAAAGTTAATTACAAAAAAATGTTAACCCATTGAGTTGACATGTGCCCTATTGCGCCCATTTTTATTTTTTACTTGTCTAATGCCAGACGATTTTACTCGTCAATGGGGAAGCTCTGCAGCTTAATGGTAAGCTGCAGAGCTTCCCCATTGACGAGTAAAATCGTCTGGCATTAGACAAGTAAAAAATAAAAATGGGCGCAATAGGGCACGTGTCAACTCAATGGGTTAACATTTTTTTGTCAACCCATTAAGCTGCAGAGCTTTGCGTGCTATCCCCATTGACGAGTTAAACCACCTGGTGTTAGACAAATAAAAAAATAAGTAGGGCACACTCAGGGATGTACACAACCGGGGGGCGGGGCAACTCAGAGAAAACTATATTTACGATTTTTAGAATGTCATTGTTAATTATTCTTTGGATATTTGGGACTTTTTTCGGCATATAGGCCTTACTGCCCCTCTGGTGAAAAAATCCTGCATACGGCCCTGGGCGCATTGTGGCTCAATGGGTTAAAATTTGCCTTGAGCAAAACATAGTCCTCAAATAAGTTATTGACTATTCTAGTTAAAAACAAGCAACAAGTCACATTACTCAATAAATATTTTATATACTAAATGTTTTTTGAATATGCCCCTTTTGTAAATTATTTGCTGGGCAATAATATTTTTAATAACTAGCCTGGTGTTTCTGTTTTTGACTATTGTTCTTGTTTGCCTTTCTGCACTTTGCAACACTTTACAGTGTTGTTTTTGTCCTCATGTGTTGGCAAACCTCTGAGGCCTTACATCCATACTTTGTTTATACATACTGTAAGCTATAAAAAGACAAATAAATTTATTTAATAATGCATATCATTTTCATACAGCTGCTGATAACAGAAAAATAAGGGAAACATTTCCCCAAGACCCTAACATGGCAAGTACACTTAATAGTGATTGCTTAATGCGAATTATATTTTCAATAAACTTTCCAACCAGTTGGTTTTTAGGCAAGGGGTCTATTTACCGTCTATAGTACATATTATGTATTATACACAAAAATAGCAAAATGAAATATTTTTAATAGTACCCACCTTTCATTTCTTGATCATGATCATCATGGCGTAAAACAACTGCCTTAACACCCATGTCAGTTTTTAGCTTGTCCATCTGGTCGCCCACCAGTGCATTTAACGTGGAAATCACGATTACAATTGTTTCTGGCAACACGGCAGAAATATTTCTTTTTCTCGAATTAAATGTAGTCGAACATGGACGGTAAAGTTGGTATATCAACGATTTAACATCCCTTCCATTTACTATTTGACGAATATCTTCTTTCTGCTCTTCCTTTAAATTAATTTGAGTATTATTTGTTTTTGCAAGTGCAAAATATATTGCTTCTGCCTTCCTCGTACAGTTGCATTCATTGCGGTCGCCATGTTTTTAAGGAGCAATACATATGCTGTGCGACCAAGCCTCTGCGTCGGAATTCCGACGCAGATTAACAGCCTGAACCAGGGCCACTGTGAGAGCCGCCCGAGCTTGGGCCTGGGGACGAGGATGGAGCAGTGACAAGTTCGGAAATGAGGTGCAGGATCGTTGCCAATGATAGCGCGACGATGCTCACCAAATCTTACTGCACACATGAGATGGGAGGGGATGGACGTGATACGATGCTTGATATGGTACACTTAGATTTTAGAACCGAAATGGTAGAAACGGAATCTATAAACTCACAGGTTTTACATTAACCAACCTCGTTCCCAGGGCTTTCTAGGAGAGGAGAGAAGAAAGCCCTGGTCCGTGCCGGCTTCTGAATAGTGATTGGATGATCGCTTCTGGAATATGATTGGTCACGCTAAATTATGCAATTATATATCAAAAAACTTATCTTAATTTATATCTTCTCACCCCATCCACACTATTAGGGACCTTTTAAAAAGCATGTACGACGGCTGACGGCAACGCAACGACGACAGCCAAAACAAACTTCTTCAAATAAATTATTGCGAAGAAGAGTTGTTGTGTATTATCCACTGCATGTATATAAGAATTGAGTTCAGTTTGAAGAGATTAAAACAAAGGCTTTATGGTTAATAACGCTTCTGCTGAGCAAATTTGTAGTCCAGTCACTTGTTGCGTCTTGACATGTTTGCGTTGTACACAAGACGTGAAAATCTCTCGTTTGCCGTTGTAAAAAGTTTTAATAGAACGTCTGTAACTCCCGTGGGGCTTTTAATTATTCATTTCTTTTGTACGAGATCAGGAATATCATTGTGTGAATAGCCGTCGTCGTCACGTTGCCGTCCTGTTTGCTTAAGGTCCCTATTGCCTTCCCGACTAAGGGCTTTCGCTCGACACTTCGAAGTTCTGTTTTTATTTTTAAGCAGTTGAATGTATTTTCTAGAAATTAAAGATTGCTCAAATAGGTATTTTCAATTTATTTGTTGTAATTGTGTCAAGGATTGCGCAATCGTTGTATTGAAAATATTGTTCGTCAATACCATTAAATTAAGCAAAACCTAGAAACCCGAGAAATCGCAACATGAGGCTTAACCATTATTTGATACAGTAAGAAACATTTCAAAAATTAAAAGAGTCACCGGCATGCATTATTTAAAGAATCCATGCTGAATCAAAAACTATCGAATTGCATGCAAACACGGACTTGCGGAAAATATAGTTTCCTTCTTTAATGTATATAAACAAAACAAACGAAGACGGTTTTACTTTTTGGTATAATTTTGTGGGTAATAGTTGTACAATACTGTCTTACTGCCTTGCATGTTAGTACATAAGAACTCAGAAATTAAGGTGATAACTCATTGGTAATACTGTTAAAAACACTGGGAAAGAAAGTGAAATCCATTCTACGAAATTTGCACCACTAAATTCATAGTATATCCCTTCTATTACCATATTATAACCATACTATGGAAATATACAATTATTATATGGATAACCAAAATCCATTCTATTTCCAATAAAGATCCATACAATTTCCATTCTATGACCTTCTGTGGATTTTCAAAAGTTTTCCAGTGTAAAGTAGCGCGTAAGCAATCAGAATAAAGAATAGATAGGATATTTAACTATTGTACCGTAAGTAAAGGAACAATAAAAATAGTATAGTTATGAATCGATTCTTACTTACTCTGGGTGCAGATAGGACATTCCCCGTCAATACAAATAGAAACGCAACCAAGGAGATTGCAATTCTGTGTCCCATGCTAAACAAACAATTAAAAATAGTACATTTGAATCGATAACTAACTTCTAACTATAATTATTAGAACCATACTATATAGTATACCATTGCAAATATCTCAATTCGTTTGGCTGTTCCACTCGTTATCTATATTCCCTGATAAATGGCAATATTTTATAGATTCTATACTACTACTACTACTAATAATAATAATAATAATAATAATAATGGTTTATTCACAGTATATCCATTACAAACAGAATGGCTCTTCACCTGTAAAATTATCTACATTATACTAAATATACTAGAACAATTAGATTACTATAGCTCTCGATTTCTTTCTCCAGCTCCTAGCATTATTTCAAAAGGTTCAAAAGTTCAATATAAACTTCAAATATATATTGTTGCCCACATCGAAACTACAGTCTAGCCGTATCAGTTGTTAGTTGTTGTTGTGAATTATATTGAGAGCAATGACATGCACTATCAGTAATGCACTCACTAATTGCGTCGAATTAAGTCATACTGGATTGTGGAATCTTTGGAATAGAAGAAGAGTAATTCACAAACTACCTATTTGGGTACTAGCATTGTGTTTCAGTCAATGGCGAATTATCTTCTTTTAAGCTAGACAACCATAGAATCTTGTAGGGTGCAATCATTGACCCTCCTTTATTTTCCATGAATTTTAACGAACAGTTAATACATTTTAAAAACATTGCATTACTCTATGTATGCGGATGATACATATACAATATGCTATTTACAGGCTGCGAGGTGCGCACTGAAAAAATATTTCAGTGATGGTTATAATGAAATTCCAATAAAATTCCGGTTGAGAAATACATGTGAGATCGGTTGCATTTGTTACTTTAGTCCAAGCATGACTGAAAAACTGCTAAAACGACGCAATAAAAGCTAGATAATTTCTCTTAGTTTCAATGCAATTGATGCTTTCCTCCTCAACAAGACAAGAGGACGTAAAACTAAGTAAAATCCGGAAAAGCGCTGTTTGACAGACAACTACAAATTGTAGTTGCTATAATAAAAATAATTTGTTCATTAAACCGGTTTACAAAAACAGTTTTGACCGAATTCCGAAAAAGCCCAGGATGGTATGAAATTTTTAAAATTGCATGTGGCCGCTGTAGTATTTATATTATACGTATATTTTTAGACTGCGAGCGGTCCCTCCTTTCCGCGGGTTGGGGTTATGGATTAAAAGTTTCCTTTCCGGAAGAGTTCAACAAGTAAATCTCAATGGTATATTATCATCCATTGCAACATGCCCGACCGGAGTCCCGCAAGGCTCGGTAATATCTCCCATTCTTTTTAATACCTACATTGATAATTTGGAGGACGCCTTACCAGAACAATTAAAAGTCAGTACGAATAAGTATGCAGATGACTGCACACAACACCAAATAGTGAGCGTAGATTCTAATAGTAATTTACAACAATCTATCAATTCAGTAAATAACTGGGCGGTGTTAAATAAAATGGCAATTAATGCTAAAAAAACTAAGGACATGTGGATCTCTTTCACGGACGCTATACCTGAACCACCACGTCTTCGTATTGGAAATGAGTTAATAGAAAGGGTCAACGCTTTTAAATTACTTGGCGTGTCGTTCCAAAATAATCTAAATGCACATGTTGAAGAGATTACACGTAAAGCAAATAAACGCCTTTATACCATCTTAGAGAATGCAGGAAATCGCAGTTACCAGCTGAAGTCGGTATTATTACCTATCAATCCAAAATAAGACCAATTATATTCTCGAGTATGCATCACCTGTCTGGGCGGGACTCCCTAATTACCTGCGAGATGAAATAGAGCGGGTTCAATCCAGGAGCTTAAGAATCCTTGGCCTGGAAAAAGATTACCTGCCACCGTTGAACGAAAGAAGGGAAGAGGCAAGTAGTCGAGAAGTTGATAGGTTTATGAACGATCCAAACCATCCCTGTCACAGCGTTTTGCCAAAATTAATTAACAATCAGTACAATTTAAGGAACATTGACCGGAATCGCAATATATCATTCTTCTCAGGAACTGAAAGGCATAAACATTCTTTTTCAGGAAGAGCTTGTAAATATATATAAATAAATATATATAAATAATTTTAACTTATTGGAAGAACTTATTAGTTTAAAACTTATTAGTTTTAACTTCTTAGTTAGTTTTCTAAATTATCTTACAACAATTTGTAATATAAAGACATATCCACAGCATGTATACTTTCTTGAACAAGTAATTGTAAGTCTATTGTACTTTTTATCTTAATATGGATGAATAAAGCTATTATTATTAAATCAGCGATGCAGCATAAAACGTCCGAAAGCAAGACTTGAAACTACAAAGAAAGTTTTTTATTTTAATGGTGGAAAATTGTTTATATGATCACTGCAGTGAAACCCGCAGTCTGATTGATCAGTACCCAGGATGAGACAATCCTGGAGGGAAATTTTAAATGCCTTCCGCGGGTATTTAAAATGTCGGACAACGAAAACATTTTAATGCATGAAATAAACAATAACAGTATATTAAACGAGCGACAAGTTCACCAAAACAGTGGTGCATGAACAAAGGTTTAATAACGACAGAGAGTGAATTAATTTTCAAACATGGATGGCTTATTTCTTACTGTGCGTGCATACTGTAGAAATACTGTTAACAAAAATTTGTATTTTTTTTAATTCGTTAAAGACCGCAAAAAAACTGAGAAACTCGGAAATCTGTCCCTTTGTATACTCACGCTGTTTAATTCGAAATAACGGTAGAAATGTGGTAACAAAATTCTAGGTTACCGGTTATGGTTTTAGAATCCAAACATAATGTCCTGAGCATTAGAGTATTAACATTCCTAAAACCATTATGTACTGGATTTTAGATTTCCTGAGTAACCGCAAACAGAGAGTGAAACTGTGTAACGACTGCTTCTCAGAGTGGAGTGATGTACCCGCAGGTGTCCCCAAAGGCACGAAGTTAGGCCCTTGGCTCTTCGTAATAATGATAAACGATCTAAATGTATCTGGTGTTGACGATCTCTGGAAGTGTGTCGATGACTCAACTATGTCTGAGTCCGTTGGTAGAAATAACTCAAGTTTAATCCAAAATTATGTAGACGAATTTGCCAGAAAGTCAATTGCAGATGGCCTCCAATTAAAAGAAACCAAATGCAATGAAAGAGCTCCGGATAAGCTTTTCTATAGGCCTAACAAAGTATTTGAGCCCATAACTATTAATGGTAAAAATGTCAAGTTCGTATCATCTACAAAACTCAGGGCTGCATAATATAGCGGATCACGTGACCATTGGTCCCAGAAAATTTTGAGTTTGGCAGAAAAAGATGGAGCGTAAAACTTTAAAATCTCAAAAGAAAGAATGAAAGGAAGAAAATGAGGAAAAATAACATAATTGAATAATAAGTTGTAGGTAGTGAACTAGTGATGTTTGCAACATGCAAGTAATACAAGTTTCCAATATACCAGTACAGCCTTCCACCCTTCTCACGAACTTTCATCCATTAATTAAGATGATATTCATAACAAATATATTAAAATTATAAGAATCTAGAATCTTAAACTGCAGACACTTTCCAGTGGTCATTTTCATCATTCATTAAATGTAAATGTTTGTTGTTAAATTAAAATATAAAGAATATTTATTCCGTAGCCACGTGGAAATACGTCTACCTTGCTGGCAGTGGTTTCGGAGCTGAGGAGAAACCACTGCGAGCAAACAAACGACTTTCTATTGAGCATGCACGAAGATCACAGGGTGGGACGACACTAATTTGACTTCATTTGCTGTAGTTTGACAGTTTGTTATCTGTACATAACAAGCGTGGCATAGTACTGTTTTCTTTGTTGTCTGTCTGACTTTTTATTCTACATGCAGTTCACAATTTACTTCTAAAAGCTTTTGAAATCGGTGCCTCACCCTATGGCTACAAATTGTCCATTAGAATTCTGTTATATCTTTTTAAATTTTTGTATTTATCTGATCAATATTAATTTTTTAATTGGGTCTGGAAACTTTATTTGTGTTACTTAAATGTTGGAGATTGTGTTAAGATTTTCGATAAATTCCAAAGTTCCCAAATAATATAATAATATAATAACGTTTCCAATTACTGTTGATTTTGACAATTATTGCAATTTTTGATCGTTGCAACCCCAACCGCTACAAATTTGAACTGATGAAAGATTGTCGTGACTGCGCCACTATTCTGTAAAAGGTGTTGATTTTTGTTGCAATGTATGAATTTATAGTTACTCTGTTGCACTGTAGGCGGTTTTTAAGTCATCTTAATATATAATTTTAAGTTACTATACTTAGAGTGCAATTGTGTTGTTTTAGTACAACTGTCTCGCATTTTACCAGCAGTGCCAAGCAGTTACCCATGTGCACAATAACAAAAACTTGTCAAACTTGTTTTACTGGTTTCTCATTTAATGTATTTGTCCATTAATCTGGACGGCGGCTACAATGAAATGATCGTTCATTTGCTCGCAGTGGTTAATTTCTCCTCAGCTCAGCTAGAAACCACTGCTAGCAGGGTAAAATATGTCTATTTTGGTTTCAAATCTAATGAAATGGTGCATAAAATACACTGAACCTTGTTTAGTGATGATCAAATTTAAACACAAGATTCACATGCAGTGTTTGCGTGCAGAAAATATTTTCGTTGGCTTTGTGGTCCCAGAAAATGAAATATTTTATGCAGCCCTGACAAAACTACTGGGCCTTACCTTCTCTAATGATCTCAAATGGAACACTCATATTTCGAATACTTGTAAAAAGGTATCAACACGGCTATATTTTCTATTAAGACAATTAAAACGTGCCAAATTGCCACCCAACGATCTGGTCCTGTTTTATATCATCTGTATTCGTCCAGTCGTCGAGTATGCGTGCGAAGTATTCCATAACTCGCTGCCGCAGTACCTGTCCGATGACTTAGAAAAACTTCAAAAACGAGCATTTCGTATAATTTTTCCTGATATGCACACAAAGATGTCTTGGAGACCAAGAACATTTTGTCACTGAACGATCGAAGACAGAAATTAACAACGAAGTTGTTTAACGAAATATAGCCAGCAACTCACATTATAATTTACACGATCTCCTCCCGCCATTAAATACCGTCGACGATCAACTTTTAAGGAATCATAGAAATTTTGAACTTCCTGTGTGCAAAACGAACAGACTTAATGACAGTTTTATCATGCACAATTCTAATACACATTTTAGATAGTTGATTTGATTTTTTAATTTTTAAATGTAAGTAGCGTTCATAGTACCTGGCCCAGAGGTTTTTTTAGGTTTGGCGAACGCGAAATGCGAGAAAACGCGCGAAGAAAAAGGAAAAACCTCTGGTGAATTTGTTAGCGATTCCTGGTTCGGATAAAGAATGCAAAAAATGTATAATGGCTAATTAATGCATCATATTCTAAAAATATTATCCAATCATTATCCTTGACGCCAGGCCGTGTAGACAGGGTTTTATCGCATGTTTACTGTCCAGTGTATGCCTGCCCATTTGTAGCAATATTCATTCTCCTGAATTTCATTCAATTTAAAACATCACATCTATTCAATTTAATATGAGTATATATTTATATTGATTCACTTTAATCTTGCAATATACATTCAATTTAATCCTGCAATATACATTCGAAAAATTTGTATTTTGCGCCGACGTGAACTTTGTCTGTTAATACAAAAGCAAGCAAACTTGTCTTGTAGATTTCAAATGAAACCATTCCTCTCCATTTCGCATTTCGAATAATAGACTCGGGATTACAAAATGCGAATGTACAGTAAACTCTCCATCAAGTATTGCTTTCTCGTCCTCTTCGTTTGACAGTGAAGTAACACGGCATCCACGCTTTCTTAGTTCACGGATGTGAGAGTCAATGAAAGAGTTCAATTTGCAAATGACTATTAAGCTAAGATGGGTTTCTCCAGAAAATTGTGGCTTTTGCCAAGTCGTCGTGCTACGGCTCGGTGTTAGAACTTTGGAATATTAATAAACTCTTCCCATAATCGATAGCAAGATGTAAATACATCTTTAATGTGAATCAAATTGGACAAGGCGCGGTATTGATGCTCCGTTAAACTTTTAATTCAGGAAATTTATCAATCTATCTATTAATGCAGCCTATAAAACTGCTTCTTTCAACTTTTGTTCGTTTATTTAATAATATAGACATTTCAAAATTCAAATGTTTCAATTCAATCAAAACACGAAACGCCTGCGAACAGGCTATGATGTTTACAATATCCAATCAGAACACGTAGTCTATCGAACCTATAGTCAGCAGCCAATCAACTCTTTGCTTCCATTTTTGAAAGTTATGTGTGGAATGTGAACCCAAAAACTACGCCAATTTCACCAGAGGGTTATTCAAAACAGGCGAAAATAAATACCCTCTGGTTCCAGGGTACGTTCATAGCATATATTCTTAATATCTTATATCTGTTAAAATTAGCGTAATTCAGCTGTGAAATTTTCTGAGGCTGTAAGTTCTAAAGTTCAATAAACCATCTATCTATCTATCTATCTTTCTATCTATCTATCTATCTATCTATCTATCTATCTATCTATCTATCTATCTATCTATCTATCTATCTATCTATCTATCTATCTATCTATCTTTGGTGGATTTTGTGAAGCCTATCATCAGGAAAAGGCCGAAGAAAATAATTCTTCATGTAGGTACAAATAACTTAAAGCGAGACAATCCCAAGAAAATAGGTAAGAAAATCATTGATCTGGCAAATGATTTAAAAAAACAGCATTCCTCGGTAGAAATTGCGATTTCATCAATTATACATCGAACTGATGATACATTGCTTAATTCTAAAGTTGATAAAGTTAATGAGTCCTTAGAGAAATCATGCGTAGATAATAACTTTGGGTTTATATGCAACAACAATATTAAACATGATTGCCTTAACGTCGGGGGACTCCATTTAATTCTAAAAGGAACAATTAATCTTGCCGCAAACTTTAGAAAACATATTAATTTAGAGTGAAATTTAAATGGTGCAGATAGTAAAAATAGTAATAATCAACCTTCTCAGCCGGCTCAAAGCGAAAAATCATTTGATGATGTAATGTCTCTCAATAAAGGATTTAAGATGGCTTTGCTAAACATTAACAGCCTCAGTAAACATATTGATGAGCTTGTAGTTTTAATGCATAGCAAGCCACTTGATATCCTAGCTATAAATGAATCAAAGCTTGATCAGACCGATACTAATAATTCGGTTGCGTTATCAGGTTATAATTTAGAACGACGAGACAGAGATAAGCATGGCGGAGGGGTTTGTGTATACTTGCGTAACTCTATAAACTATAATAGGCGTACTGATTTAGAAGATAGTAATTTAGAAATGATTGTTCTTGAGATTTCTAAACCAAATTCAAAACCATTTCTTATAACTACATGGTATCGGCCTCCTAAAAGTTCTTTAGAGTTATTTGAGATGTTTGAACTTTTCTTAAAGAAAGTTGACGGAAAGTTCAAAGAAATATATATTCTGGGTGATTTGAATTGCAATTTTCGATCAAACCCTCCAGAGAATCATACTAAACATATCGTAAACATAATGATCAATTATCAATTTACTCAATTAATTACTGATTCGACAAGAGTAAGCAGTAATTCAAATTCTTTAATTGATGTGTTTATAACCAACTCAAGCGAATCGATTATATCTTCAGGGGTTTACCCACTTTCAATTAGTGATCATGATTTAATATATGCAATTAGAAAAATTGGTCTACCCAAGGGAAAACCGCGTTATATTGAATGCCGTAATTTCAAAAACTTTGACGAAAAACAATTTACGTCAAGTCTAAAATCTACAAAGTGGCCTTTGATAAATGAATTTGATGATATTAATAAAGCTTGCGATGCATGGAAATCAGTGTTCCTTGAAGTAATTGATAAACATGCGCCTTGTCGTAGTTTTAGAGTTCGCAATAAGCCTTGCCCGTGGATAAATGCTGAGATAAAACAGAAAATGTTTAATCGAGACAGACTAAAGAAAAAAGCCATGCTGACAAATAATCCTGAAACCTGGCTGGCTTATAGAAGACAACGTAATGTTGTATCTAGTGAGATTAAGAAAGTTAAAAAGCAGTATTTTCAGAGCGAAATTAATACAAATCGCGGCAATTCAAAGGAAACATGGAAAATTTTGAATGACGCGATGGGGAGAAAATCTGAAAATACTGAAATTAATAAAATATCAACTGGTTCAGATCAAGATTTGACTGAATCGCTTGATATAGCAAATTACTTTAATGCACATTTTGTTGAAATTGGCCCAAAATTAGCATCTAATGTTCCCACAATAAGTGGAAGGAAACCAGATGATTTTATGACAAAAGTTGCATCTAAATTCAATTTTAAAAAAATTGATACAAAAGATGTAATAAAACTAATAAAGAAAATAAATTTGCGTAAGGCCTCAGGCCATGACAAGATATCCAATAAGTTATTGAAAATTGCCGGTCCTTATATTTACCAGTCACTCACAGACCTCTTCAATCTTTCCATTAAGTTGAGGAGCTTTGCAAGTGATTGGAAAATTGCAAAAGTATTTCCTATACATAAATCTGGCGAAAGAGCTGATGCAAATAATTATAGGCCAATTTCAGTCTTATCTACTATAGCTCGTCTATTCGAACGATTAATGTATGATCAATTCTACAGTTATTTAACTGAATATGATCTCATCGATACCAGACAATCAGGTTTTCGTTCACTCCATTCAACGTTGACCGCACTACTTGATATGTCAAACCAGTGGTGTTTCAACATTGATAGGGGAATGGTTAATGGTGTCATATTCTTAGATTTAAAAAAAGCATTTGATACCATTGACCATGAAATTTTATTGATGAAATTAGCATGCTATGGTGTCGATGATCAAAGTTTATTGTGGTTTAGATCATATTTGAATGATAGGCAACAGGTCTGCCATGTAAATGGAGTCTATTCTAACAAGGACTTCATCAAATGTGGAGTACCACAGGGCTCCATTCTTGGTCCAGTCTTATTCTTGTTATATATAAATGATTTACCGAAATGCCTGGACCACAGTATTGCCAGACTATTTGCCGACGACACAAATATGACCTTTACAGGTTGTAACATTAAATCAATTCAAGAGCAAATGACAAGTGATCTAAACAACATATTTCAATGGCTTTGTTCTAATAAATTGACGCTAAATGTCCTAAAAACAGATTTTATGCTAATTGGCTCACGACAAAAATTATCGGCGCTTGACGATTCAATAGTATTATCGGCTGATAATGTGACATTAAGTAAAGTTAGATCTGTAAAGTGTTTAGGTGTCGATATTGACGAGAACTTAACATGGGAAATACACATCCAGAGCATCCGTTTAAAGGTATCCCGTAATATTGCAGCCCTCCGTAAAGTGAAGAAACTCTTTAGTCGGAAAAATCTTGTGTCTCTGTATAGAGCATTAATTGAACCGTATTTTATTTACTGTTCAATTGTTTGGGACAATATAAGTGAGACATTAGAAAAACAATTGCAAGTTCTTCAAAACAGAGCGGCGCGCATAATTACGGGAGCACCCTTATTAAAATCATCTTCGTTGATTTTGGCGGAATTAAACTGGATGAATATAAAAGAAATGCGAGAAAAACAAAAAGCTATTATGATGTATAAAATAGTACATGGTCTTGCACCAGAATATTTAACGGAAATGTTTACATTTCATAGTAGCTTAAATGATTATAGCCTTCGTCAATCCAAATTAAATTTCGAGCTTCCTGTAAATCGAACAGATTATTATAATTCAAGTTTTGCTTTCACTGGAGCAAAGCTATGGAATTCTTTACCAGACGAACTTAAACATGAACCTTCATTAAAAAGGTTCATAAAAAGATTAGAACATCTGCTATCTGCACCAACATAGTCAGTTATTATTCTATGAATAATTGTAAATAGTCTCTTTTCTTTCAAAAATTCCAAAAAAAATGTAAAAATGTACGTATATCGTAAATTATACACGGCTTTTAGGAAGAACAAATTGTAAATAATTATTATTTATTCCATTTGATAAAACCACCGTGTTTAAATAAAGATTTCAATCAATCAATCAATCTATCTATCTATCTATCTATCTATCTATCTATCTATCTATCTATCTATCTATCTATCTATCTATCTATCTATCTATCTATCTATCTATCTATCTATCTATCTAGGAAAGGGATAATGCAAATAATTATAGGCCTATTTCGGTGTTATCTTCAATTGCACGTCTTTTTGAGCGCCTTGTGTATAACCAAATGTATGCTTATTTATCTAAACATAGACTAATCAATACCCGTCAATCTGGATTCCGTTCACTTCACTCTACCATGACAGCCTTGCTGGATATGACAAATCAATGGTGTTTTAATATTGATAAAGGGATGTTAAACGGTGTGATTTTTCTTGATCTAAAGAAGGCTTTTGACACCATTGATCATGCAATTTTGCAAATGAAACTTGCATGTCATGGTTTGAAAGAGTGTAGTTTGGAATGGGTTGAATCCTACTTGACAAATAGGGTACAAGTTTGTCATGTAAATGGCATATATTCAAATGAAGAAACCATTTCCTGCGGGGTTCCACAAGGTTCCATTTTGGGTCCGGTCTTATTTTTGCTTTATATAAATGACCTACCCAGTTGTTTGGAACATGGAATTGCCAGGCTATTTGCTGACGATACAAATATCACTTCCACAGGTTGCAATTTGGAATCGGTCGGAAATAAAATGCAGATTGAGCTTAATAAAATATTCAAGTGGCTTTGTGCAAACAAGTTGACCCTGAATATTTTAAAAACCGATTTCATGGTTATTGCTTCTCGACAAAAGCTAGCGGCCCTGGGAGACTCAATAACATTGTCAGTAAACGGTGTTTCATTAAGCCAAGTTCGTTCGGTGAAATCCTTAGGAGTAAACATAGACGAAAACTTAACTTGGGAAAACCATGTGGAGAGTATTCGCTTAAAAGTATCCCGTAATATTGCTACTTTGAGGCGATTAAAGCCCATTTTAACACAAAAAAACCTAGTATCACTCTATCGGGCGATAATTGAACCATATTTCATTTATTGCTCCATAGTTTGGGACAGCCTTGGTCAAACATTAGACAGGTCTCTACAAATTTTACAAAATAGGGCTGCCCGTGTGATAACTGGGGCACATTTCTCAACATCATCCTCAAAACTCTTAAAAGAACTTGGCTGGATGAATATTCAGGAAATGAGGTATAAACAAAAGGCTATGATGATGTATAGAATAGTAAATGGTAATGCACCATATTATTTAATAGACATATTTCAACATTGTCATGCTTTGGATATATATAATCTCAGAAGGTCTAAAATAACCTTCGAACTTCCAAAAAATCGAACACTGTATTACAATTCAAGTTTTGCCTTCACTGGTGCTAAATTATGGAATTCTCTTCCGGATGAGATAAAAGACGCACCATCACTTAAAATATTTGTAAAAATGTTAGACTCGACTATATTCTGTGCCAACTAGAATATGTTTTCTGTATATAGTTTTATATTGAAATATTAAGATACACGGCTTTTAGAAAGAACAAATGTAAATATGTCATATCTACAATTGATAAAACCACCGTGGTTAAATAAAAATTTCAATCAAATCAATCAATCAATCAATCTATCTATCTATCTATCTATCTATCTATCTATCTATCTATCTATCTATCTATCTATCTATCTATCTATCTATCTATCTATCTATCTATCTATCTAGCGCTTCGCTGGTAATTAAAGAACATCATGCAGTTACCTTCATTGGTGCATCGTAGCCCTATATTCAAGCATTTTTCTTCTGCATTTACTTGTCAAAAATATTACTAACTCAGTTAGTATTAGCTATGTTTAAGTATATTATTAGGTAATCATGCGATGACGAGTACAATCAGGGATTACTAGCACGAGTGAAGTTTGGAAATTTTGCCAAAATTGGACGAGCCATCGGGGCGAGTCCAATTTGGCAAAATTTCCAAACATCACGAGTACTATTAATCCCTAATTGTACGAGCAACATCGTATGATTACTTGTTGATTATTAGCATGACAAAATTGGATACTTCTCAATGTCAACATCATATTCTCTCACCAAAGCCCAGTTCTGCCAGACTTCAACCAAAATTTAGTTATTTTGTTAATTTAGCAAAATTTGGTGCTTTTGTTCGTATTTTCATCTGGTTCTTTTGTTAAAGCAAAATTTGGTGCTTTTGTTCGTATTTTCATCTGGTTCCTCTAGGGCAATTTCATTTCAATTTGTGTTTAAAATACCTTTCCGCAATTTTGTTTCTTTTGAGAAAATTATAAATTGTACTGCAGTACAATTAATGAAATAATTGTACTCCTCTCAACCAATCAGCATCCAGTAATTTTGTCACGCTAATAATAAGGGAAGCTTGACTTTATATGTATATTTTTATTTATTTTTATTTATTTAATGATTTGCCCATGTGATATACCATTATGTTACATAAAAAGTAAATAAAATAGAAACAAAATATAAAATATACTAGCGTATATGCCAGTTCAATCTCCAAATTGTACACAGATAATGACCAAATTACATATTGTGTTACATGAAAATGAAAATACCGAGGCAAAATATTTTAAAAACCGGTACAAATACGGTATATAAATACGGTAGTCCTGTGAAGAACGTATTGGAGGAATTATATAGGTACAAGAATTCGATGCAAATATTTACCCATGCCAAGTATATTAGTATGTATGTTACAGGAATTTGAAAATATTACCTTTGTAAATACTATATGTTAGCTTGACTTTGAACCTTTGGCGCAATACCAGCTTCTTCTTAAACGAAACTGGCCGCTTCTTTTCTTTGGATGAAAATATATATGAAGCGCATAGGCAATAAATAGTCTGAACAAATAAATGTCCGCCCAGCATGATAGAAATATTTTGCAGGGCTTAAATTCAGTGTTAATAGTTACACCTGTTTGACTTCAATGCAGTCACATTTTAGGCAATTTAGAAAATATGACTAACAACCCGGCACGATACAACTATTTTACATGGTAGAGAATTGTTAAAGATTTACACCTGCTTGACTTTATTGTAGTCAATCAGCAGAAGTGCGTTCAGCAGCCATGCATGGATCACATTCTAAATTTAAGCTAAGCGAAAAAATTTCAAAATCTTGTAACTTCATAGTTTATAGTTATTCAGTATCGAAAAATACAACCTGGGTGTAATGTTCTAAATAATGATTGTTAACTTCAATTGCACAACCTATTTAGGTGGTTTTGTTCATCACTTAAATTTACTCCCTTTTTGGTTTTCATCCGATGCATTACCTTTGAACTTTGCGCAGATTTTTCTGCCTCCGAGCTGCGGAACGCCCCCGTATATAGATAAAGTACAGTCTCATGGATTTTTTTGGACTTTAGGCCGTTCCACAAAGGTAATCTAAAATATAAATTGGACTTTTGTTTTGAATTTTTGTCAACATAGTAGGGCCTACTTTAATAGGCAATGTTTTAAAACTCTCAAATTTTCGTTTATAAAGCAGAAGTCAGACGCCATAAACGTCTAAGAAAATGCCAGTTGGCAGCTTGTAACAGAAACTGCCATGAAACAAATTTAATTGGTGTACATTTTCAGGTTTTGGCCGCCCGTCTATAGCTATCTCTGTACAGCACTGAGGTATTTTGCAGTCTTGATCACCATTGTTCCCACTCCGTGATATGTTTTAAAGCTGGTAAGTGATAGCTATATAACTAGAAGAACAGTCAATAACCCCTATAACCCGATATATCCTGAATTACAACTAAAGCTCCGTTTACACTACGCTCAATTTTTGGTACGGCACGGATAAAATTGGTGCCCGTACCACTTTTTCGGTTCTTCGACTATCTATTTATCTAGGCTCCGTTTACACTACGCTCAATTTTTGGTACCGTACAACTTTTTGGTTCTTGGACTACCTAAACCAAGTCCAAGAACCAAAAAAGTGGTACGGGTGCCAATTTTATCCTTGCCGTACCAAAAATTAAGCGCAGTGTAAACTGGGCTTAAAAAACTAATTCAATCTTCAGCTCCGTTTACACTACGCTCCATTTTTGGTACGACACGGATAAAATTGATACCCGTACCACTTTTTTGATTCTTGGACTACCTATTTAGGTAGTCCAAGAGCCAAAAAGTGGTCCGGTACCAATAATTGAGCATAGTGTAAACGGGGCTTAGCTAAATAGGTAGTCCAAGAACCAAAAAAGTGGTACGTGTACCAATTTTATCCTTGCCGTAGCAAAAATTGAGCGTATAGTGTAAACGGGGTTTTACATAGTATATCAAATATTTGTTGGTAAAAATTCTTATAGACAATGATCAGCATTAATATAATATTGCGTAATATAACTGATCCAAATTATCATTTGTATACTATATACATATGTAAATATGTAGTATACGAATGATAATTTGGATTATTTTGTGTATACACAATATGACAATATCCTAATCAATTGCATCAAGGTCGTTTAATTTAAAGATATTTATTTTCTACGAAAGGAGGATAATTTTTTTTAATGATATTAATTAAATATATAAGCAACTATAGAAGTTTAATACCAAACGATGAAACATGCAGAGCATAATAAAGAAAGACACAAAATATATTGTTCACGCG